GCTGTCAGTAACAGTGACAGAGACAGATATGTTCTCTAGAGTGAAAGACACGACTGTGCAGAAAGCAAGCTCTATAAAGTGAGTACTTTTGGCAATATAGCATATGGCCCTACTCTCACTAACAGTCACGAGCACTGGGTAGTGAGTTGTCTCTGAAGGGAGGCTCTCCCTTAGGGATTGGATGAGGAGTTCTGTCTTCCACACGGCTGCTACGCTTCCACATTAAAAGGAGCCAGTTGAGGTAGTTCCTACATCTGATTAGGAGTTTAGGTGTTCTGGGCATGTCCGACTGGAAGGAGGCCCCACCTGAAGTCCAACACACTGAAGCTCTACGAGAAGGAAATGGGGATGGCGAATGTTACAGCCAAGATCCTGGACAAAACACGGCATATCCACGAATGTATCAGGAATATGCCCCCCTCCCAGAGTGCCTCAGGCAGCTGAGGACTACTACTGCTACTGTAATAATGAATAAGACAAGGAACTGTCATGGATGACCGAGCCCATGCATGTGATGCACCATGACAGATACAGGAAGTGGATGGCAACAAGGAAGTAGCTATAAAGGCCAAGCACAGAGGCGCTGATCATGGCAGACAGAACCCAAGCTGCAGGCTGTGCAAAAGTGCCTTGGAGACTATCTAATACATAGCAGCAGGATGTAAGAGGCATGCTAGCACAGTGTACACTCAGAAGTGGCTGGGACAGTGTGCAGGAACATCTGTGCTCATGTGGACTTGAAGTCCCAGTGGGAGACACCTCAGAAGCATTTGACTCTTTGACTCTTCTCTTGCTTACTCACTGAGCAGTGTACATTACTCGGAGCTGAGGGTGTGAAAGGCAAAAGCAATATTTATTTGAGATTGTCCTCCATTGCACACAGATTTATTCTTGCATTGTAGGACGGGACTGTCTGATGGGGTAGATGGGAAAGACCAGACCTTACTATTGCCAAAAAGTTCACATTTTGGTGTTGTAAATCAAAAACAAGTATAAATGTTGTACAATGGAAGAACCTTCTTATAGATCGTAGGTCTGCAAAAAAATGTCTGCCTCCTTTCACATGAAAAACCTGTAAATTTAACCACATCAGAAATGAGAATGATTGATGTGATTATAAACATCCACATCAATCATTTCAATCAAGGTTTAAGAGAATGGAAAAAAGGAAAAAAGTTATTGTCTTTGTTGAAAGTCTGTCTTTGTATTGTATGTGGTGTGTGTGTGTGTGTGTGTGTACATGTTGAGACATCTTTGTGAGGGGACAGAAAAAATTGGCATGCTACTATACTTGTGCGGACCAACAGCCCTTAAGGCATAGGTGTCAAACTCTGGCCCGCGGGCCAAATGTGGCCCGCAGCCTAATTACATTTGGCCCACAAAGCCATACCAAATTACTATTAGAGCTGGCCTACTGGTATTATACAGCTAATATATATATTGTTTAGTATTAAGCTTTGCTTGTTCCATATTCACTTTTTCAGCAAAACGTGTTTGAGTCCATAAGAAAAGATTCATTCTTATATCTGGAGGAATAAA